ACCTCCTGCTGAATTCAGCCTTGTATTTTGCCGTGCAAAGTATAGTCTGAAAACTAAATCTGGATGCATCCATAAAGTGCATTCATGTCACCTAATGAATGAAATTGTAGTGGTCTAGGTTTTAGTATGCAGCTCTTGGGACAACTCTTGCTTTGATACTTGATTTTGGCAGTTGAATCATTCCTCTTCTAAGTAATTACTGATTTTGAGTTCCTTTTCCTTTTTAAGGCAGTAGTAATGTGGGTGACACACTTCCCACTGGACAGTTGTCCAACATTCCTTGGCGCAGAGCAGGGGTAAAATACACAAACAACGAAGCCTATTTTGATGTCGTTGAAGAAATTGATGCGATTATAGACAAATCAGGTAAGATGCCTTGCAGTCTCCCTTTTGAATGTTAAGTGTGTTTAGTTTTAGCTGCTGATGTTTAGAGACAGTACAGTCCAACCACACTTTTTTGCATATATGTTTTATATACTTGAATCTATATCTTAAATAGAAATAGACAATTTAAAGTTATGTGCTCAAGTGTATTTCTTTAGTTCATCTTAAAATAGCAATATGCTCTAGGCTGCTTCAAGAACATCCGCAAGAAATATTCTGTACTTAGATGTTTTCTGTTTGTATATTGATTATCTCTTAAGAGATATAAATGGAAAAAAAACCCCTTCAAGTTTTAAATGCGATGAGAAAATTATCTTCCATTGTTCCTGCCAACAGTTTACTGTAGTCCTTGTAGGCCCTCAAATGAACAAGTAAAATGCTTCTATTAGCTTTATTCTGATAGCAAGACAAAACTTGGTGCAAAATATCTGGACAGTATTGTTTTCCTTATATATAAGCTGGAGCAAGATACTATGAAGATAGTAATACTCCTTTCTTTTCTGTAAATGCAAAATTATATCTTCAAAGACAAGTCCTTAATCTGAGATTCAGCTCTGAGGAGGAATCTGATGGCTTTTGTGTAAATGTTGCCATTGTCAAGATGTAGAAAAAAATGATCCAAACAGAAAACTGCTGTGCTGTGGACAGGAGCCTGCAGTTTTGCTTATTGCTGGAGCCATCAGTTGTTTGTTAAAGCTGCAAATTGCACGATACCATTCTGTGGTGGTATGGGACACGGAGCAAATCTCTGGTTTCATCATTCAGTGCTATTGTAGCAGTAGCCAAT